GAGCAGGAAGAGCGCCACGAAGACGCGGAGGCCGGCCCAGGCGCCGTCCAGCTCCTGGCCCTCAGGCTCCTGCACGCACAGCTCGCCGAGGTCCAGCTCTGCGGCAGGAGGGGTCAGCTCACCCCGCCGGCCTCAGGCTCTGTCCGCGGCGCGGGCTGCCCGCTGCCCTCTCACCCCGCACTCCCAGGCAGCCCCTCGGTTTCTAGGACCCTCGCTGTACCCCGTGCTCAGCACCCCCGGGCCCTCCCGCCCAGCTTCCGGGGCTGCTGGAGCCCCCGCGGGGCTGCCGGCTGGCGGGTGGGGGCTGGGCTCCACCGAGGCCATTGCAGGGGCTGAAGGTCGGCCCTGCCCTGGGCTTGCAGGGGTCTGCGCAGCCCCTGAGGGCCCTGGCCCACCTGGGGCCCCCTCCCCAGGGTGCCCGCGACATCAGCAGGGGCCGGCAGCGGGGCCCTGGGCCGCGGGACTGGTGTGGTGCGGGATGTGGACACACCCTGCCTCCCCTGTGTGTCTGTGTCCACATGTGCACGTGTTTCTGTGTGCCCACACGTGTGCCCCGGCTGCGCTGCAGGGGGGTCGGGGGGCTGCCCAGGAGCAGGGCCGTGGGGCGGCTGGTCTGTCTGGGCCTGGGTGTGGCCAGGGCCCAGGGGATGCTGGGAGGACGGTGGCCACCTGTGGGGACCAGGTGTGCTGGGAGGCCGTGGGACTTGTGTGCAGGTTGGCCCGTGTGAGTGGGCAGGCGCCCGCACAGTGGGCGGCAGGAGGACCCAGGGACTGATGTGGGGTGGGAGGTGGCAGCGGCCGCGGGGCAGGGTCAGCTGGTGGGCACTCCGCCTGGCGGGGGCGTGGGGCCTGTGGGGCCAGGGGCTGGCGGTGGGGCCGGTGTCTGCGTGGGCTGTCTGGCCTGTGTCGGGACCGGACTGTGACCAGGGGTCAGCAGGACCCTGGCTGGAGGCTGGTTCTCCGGGGTCTCCAGGAGAGGCAAGGGCAGGCTGCGTGCCGGCTCCCTCCTGCCCTTTGGGCCCAGGGCTGTGGTGGGGGTGGGGCCCGGGGCGGGGCCTGAACCGCCCCGCCCCTCCCCTCTGATTCCCTGCGCGGCCCACCCCCAAGAAGGGCCTGGAGCTTCATCAAATAGACTGTTTATTGGGGGTGCTGCCAAGCGGGTGGGGGGCCTGGGGCATCATTTACCAGGGGACTTGGACAGCGACTTTTCCAGGGTCCTGGAGCCGGGCAGGGCTTCGTGCACCACCTGGCAGGTGAACTTGTCCTTGTCCCAGGCGTCCCGGCTGACCTCCAGGCGGCTGAAGACGAAGAAGGCGGGGCTGGGGCCGCTGGTCTTGCGGGGCTGTGTGGTGGCCTGCTCCTCGATGGGGACGGGGCTCTCATTGTGCAGCCACTGCACGAAGATGTCCGCGGGGAAGAAGTTCTGGACCAGGCAGGTGAGGGTCAGCTTGTCCTTGGTGCCCTGGGTCTCTTCTGGCGACGGCGGGAACACGTAGACCTCTGGGGTGGCGCGCTTGCCTGGGAGGAAGGGGGTCAGCGGCGCTGGTGGCCGCCCGGGGTCTCGCCCGCCCGGGCCCGCCCTGGCCCCTGTCCCCTGCTGTGTCCACCCCACGCTCACCTGGGGCCTTGGCTATGGAGCGCACGATCTTCCTGGGCAGGTCTGGGTGTTCCACCGTGCAGCGGTAGGTCTCTCCCTCGATCCAGTCATTGACGTCCACCGCCAGGGTGGACATGGCACTGAACGTCGCATTGAAGTGTTTCTTGGTGACCGGTGGGTCTTGGGGCACTTGGGTGTTGTCATCCCGGGACCAGGTCAGTCTCACGCTGTTGGCCTCTGCCAGGTCCACCACCAGGCAGATGATCTTGGGAGACTTGTGGACGTACAGGTCCAGGGGGCTGGGCGGGATCACGTAGGCGCTCACGCCTCGGGGTTCGGACTCTGCGAGCACAGAGGCGGTGTGAGGCCCTGTCCGGCCAGCCCTGCGTGTGTGTGGGGGGTGGGGTGGACCGGGGAGCCGCTGGGGGTGCACCTGTGCACTTGCGGGCTTCGTCCTTGAAGATGTGGCCTTGGTAGGTGACCTGGCAGGCGTAGGTTTTCTGGGACGCCCATTCGCCCTGCGTGATGTTGGTCTCGCTGTAGGTAGAGGCCAGCTGGCCCTCCTGCGTGGCAGGGGCCGTGATGACGAACAGGTCGGTTGCCTCCCGCCCGTCCACCAGCCAGGTGACCGTGATGTGGGTGCTGGGGTAGCCGGAGACGAAGCACCGGAGCTGGATGGGGGTGTTTGTGTCGCCGCTGGGGTCACAGGAGGAGTGGAAGAGCTTCACGCTTGGGCTGGTGAAGTTCCTGGCACAGGCTGTGAGGAGTGGGGCGGCCTGGTGAGACCCCTGGGGCCCCGCCTGCCCCATGGCCCCTCCTGCCCCTCCCCACTGGCCCTCCCTGAGCTCACCTGAGAAGGTCTTCACCTCGGTGACGTTGGTGTGCGTCACACTGCAGTTGACCTGCTGTGTATCCCACTCGCCAGACATAGTCATCTGGCTGACGATGGTGAAGAGGCCAGAGGCTGAGTTTTGGGTGGCAGGGAAAGTCAGGGAGGAGTTCTCGATCAGGGACCCCGTGTTCCAAGTGATGTCCATCGAGTTGGGAAAGTAGGCAGTGACCAGGCAGGCCAGCGTCACGGAGGACATGGAGGCACTGTCCTTGCAGCAGGGCCTCAGGGGGAAGATCAATGGTCTGCTGACAGGAACTGAGGGGAAGCAGGGTCAGTGATGGCCTTGGGGCCAGGCCCAGGTCCGCACCTTGCCCTGGGGTCTGGAGGGCTGTGGGGGACCCGCAGCAGTGGGTAGGAGTGCTGGATCCCTCCTGCAGCCTCCTAATACCCCGATTTCCAGAGGGGTCCTCAGCTGACCCTGTGTCCCGGGCCAGGACTGGGCCCAGGGTCTCTGGGAGGAGGGGCCGGCCAGGCCCAGCGGTGAGCCAGGAGCCATAGTCCCGGACAGTGCCCCTTGGGGAGTAGGGCTGCGAACCCCCAGGAACTGCCAGGCAGTGTCTCTGGTCACCCACAGACCGCCTGGGGCTGGGGTCCTGAGCATGCCTGCACCCGGCCCCTGAGGGCTTTCAGCCCCCAGCCTGCCCCCACGGCCCCGTTCCCTGTGGCCCCTCCGCTCACAAGTGTCTCAGGGGTGGCCTGGCACTCAGCCCTTCACTGCGTGGCCCCGGAGTCTCCACTCCCACCACAGGCCGCCGGGGTGCCCCCTGCAGGTCTGGACGACCTGGCAGAGCCCTCTAAGAACCCTCCGGACAGGCACAGCTTTGTAGGCATCCCTGGCTGCCTGCCCCAGCCCCTCTGTCCACTCGTCCCAGCTGCCCACCTGCCCAGCTCCACACCAGATACCCTGTCAGGAGGGACAGGCCCAGAGCCCCCCAGTCCAGTCCAGACAAGCACTGACCAGCGGTTGCGCCCATTCAGACCACTAAGTTCCAGAGTCCAAATAACAGAGCCCAGCCCAGCCAGCCCAGTGGAGCCCTGTTAGACTCAATTGAGCCCAACCAAGCCCAGATGGACTGGTTTTAGCCAGTTCCGCACAGCCCAGTTGGATCAATCTCAGCCCAGTTC